ACAAAGCACAAAGCAAGCAACATTCGTTCAGTAACTCTCCAACCCATGAAACTATCATAGAACATTCAGCCCACATACCACAACTCATTCTATCCATATCCACCCTCATTTTCGACAGCCTTATGAATGCAAATTATACACAAAACAGGATCTAATAGACTGTCGAATAATAGACTCTACCCTAGGACCACAATCAGACAAGGAATAGGAAATAAGGCCAAATCAATTATTCTAAGGCTATAAGATCCTAACCGTATACAATTTTTAAAACATACACTTAGTAGTTACCGATACCAATAGTCATTCCCATTCCAACATAGCATCCAATATTCCCAAGGCTACAAGCATCACATATCAGGCTAATCTATCGTTGACTACTCAACACTAGCATGCAAGTCTACCAGCTCATACAACATATAAAGGCATCTCTCCTAGCCCTAACTAGCATGCGACTCTTAGATTTATAAATCAAGACATAACAGATAACATATATGAGTATTTTGGGAAAACTTACTTGAGCTCGTCTGAATGCATGCACCACACCCTTTTCTTATATTAGAAAGTTTCTTTTCTCAATATATATATATATATATATATATATATATATATATATATATATATATCATGGTTGTAAAAATCGTTTGACGGTAGCTCGGCGGTCGACTGACGATAAGCGATTAATCAGACTCGGCGGGGATTAATCGGTGATTAATCAGGGAACCTAAATTATTAATAAAATTATTTAAAAAATCAATATTTCCTAAAAAATTAAGTATTTGGAAATTTTAAACTTTAAAATTTTGAAATTTTAGTATAATATTTAAAATTTGAAAGCTTAAAAATTTAAAAATTTAAAATTTTGGTGTAATATTTGAAAATTATATTTTTTTTGAATTTTTTAAATATTTCCCACCTATGACCGCCGAGGACCGCCAAACCCGAGTTTGACCGATTTTGACCAATTTCCGCCAAGCACCCTAATCGTAATCGGTTCGAGGCCGCCAAGCGATTAATCGGCCGCCAAGGCCGATTTCTGCAACACTGATATATATATATATATATAGATAATATATATATATAGATATATATATATAATATATATATAGAATATAGATATATATATATCTTTTGAAAACTTTACCAAATCCTCAGTTTGAGTTCAAACACACTTAAGAGTATGTTCGAATCCCTCAAACCAAGGCTCTGATATTAACTTGTAACGAACCAAAAATCAAGGGTAAAAATTCCATTTTTATTATAGTCAAAACATAGATGTCATTCAATACAAATATTCCAAAAAACATTGCTAATTAAAACATTTATCAGAGTTCATCCCAAAATCACATATAGCGGAAAACACGGGTGTGTGTGCTGCGACCAAGATGGGCCCTTCCTTTCCGAACCGATGATACCTGAAACCGTAAAGAAAACTGTAAGCACAAAGATTAGTGAGTTCCCCATAACATACCCCACATAATCACATAAACAATATCAATCACATAAGCCACATAAGTCATGCATACAAACATATAAGGATGTTGTGGACTCCCTCCAAGGTCTTACTCCAGGATGTCGTGGGCTCCCCCATGGTCTTACACCTATGTGCCATGGGCTCCCCCACATGGTCTTAACTATTTGCCATAGGCTCCCCCACATGGTCTTTACCTGGAATGCCATGGGCTCCCCCCATGGTCTGATATCCAACTTTAGTCCCAAGGATCATCCATGAGGCTACAAACTCAAACCCTAAGTCCTTTAAGGAAGGTCTTGACCCATTAAGCCCTTAAACTCTCAATTCAACGTCCCAAAACACAGATATGATGTCTAAGGGTGGACAAATCACGTAAAGTTTCTAACGTTACATCCATGCATGCTTGAAATGCTCTCTAAGGTCCATTTTAGGCTTCATAATAAACATATGGCAAGCATGGGACATAGGGACCGATAAAGCTTGCAACTTTAAGCTTCAAGAGGTCATTCAGGGGTCAGATCTTCCCTAACAACCCCCAAAATCCTCTTCTTCTTAGATAACTCGGTCAAAGACCCAAAACCAAGCCAAAACTACAAGAGATGAGATCTAATAAGCTACATGTCAAGGTTATGACTTTATACCTCCGAGATGTAGCCTTTGATGTAGGGTTTATGGATCCAAGATTACTCCTCCAAACTTGATGTTTCTCTCTTCAATGCTTCCTTCAAAGATTTCCAAAAATCACTGCAAAACTCACAAAACTCAAGGAACAAGTGGAAAAACGATCTAGGCTTTCTTCTGGATAAGGGAGGCTGGTAAGGAGGACAACCCTAGAAGTTAAGTCCTTTAAATAGGGTGTAATACCCGAAAAATTAGGGTTTTCTCTTCCAACGCCAACTTGTCGAGTTGGACCTCCCCAACTCGTCGAGTTGTTCTTCAAAACGCGCATGCCACATATTTCCAACACGTCGAGTTTATGCCTTAAACTCGACGAGTTGACCTTTAGAAATAAGGTTTTATTTCCATAATTAACCTTCTAAATTTTGGGTGTTACAAGTGATGAGAATATGCCACCGAGACGGTTGGAGGTGCTCCGAGAAATGAAGGCGAAGATCGAGCGAAAATATTTAAGCGAAGAATAGTGTATCGGTTTTATATTTTTAAATTTATTATGTTTTCGGTCGATGTTTTTTTTTGTTGTAATGTCGTTTTTATTTTTAAAACAGTATGTTTACTTAAGTATTTAATTTAATTATGTTTTATTTGATTTATTTGTTTTTAAAAAAATATTATGCCATAAATTAAAAAAATAAAACAAATTAGAAAAATAGAAATTAAAAACATCAAATATATATATATATATATATATTATATATATATATAGAAAATAGTATGTGTTATCATATGTTATTTGATGTTGTCGATTTTCACCATAGGTGTTATAGCACCCAAAGTATGACTAGAATGATGAGATGAACATTTTGGATATAATAAGATATAATAACATCTTTCCCATAATATCCATTTGATGAATACTAGGTGTAAGACTCATGTATTAAATGAGTTAATTTAAAAAAACTATATATAAAATTATAAACATTTGAGAAGTTGAATTTATAAGAAAAATAGAAAAATATTGAATTATTAAAATTAAGTGTTTTTTCTCTTTTAAATTTAAACAAATAATTTAGATAAATAAACAAAGAAAACTAATGGGCTTTAATTGAGAAATTTTGAAATTAGAAGGAAAGTTAATTAATGAAATTAAAATGCCTTTATTATTATATTTATTGCAATTAATACATTTAATAAAAATGAAACAACCACAAAATGCCATGTGGAAAAAATTTAATTGAAAATAACCACAAAATGACATATGGCCAAATCAATGAGAGTGTGACAAGTGGCAAAAAGTTCTTTATTTATTAGGGAGGATTCTCCAAAGAAAGCACCTCTCGTATATCTGTGGTGCGTCTTTTTACAAGTCAAAATAGAATTACAACAGTCGGTCAAAATAGAAGTCTACTTCATTTCATCGATTGATGTATATTTTCTATCCTCTGCGACACCAACCCTTTTTTTCTCGATTCCAAAGGCTCCAAACCTCAGATCCCCATCCATAGAAATGTCTAGGAGGATAAAGTTTCCAACTTACTCCCAAGGATCATCCATGAGGCTACAAACTCAAACCCTAAGTCCTTTAACGAAGGTCTTGACCCATTAAGCCCTTAAACTCTCAATTCAACGTCCCAAAACACAGATATGATGTCTAAGGGTGGACAAATCACGTAAAGTTTCTAACTTTACATCCATGCATGCTTGAAATGCTCTCTAAGGTCCATTTTAGGCTTCATAATAAACATATGGCAAGCATGGGACATAGGGACCGATAAAGCTTGCAACTTTAAGCTTCAAGAGGTCATTTAGGGGTCAGATCTGCCCTAACAGGACATAGGGACCGATAAAGCTTGCAACTTTAAGCTTCAAGAGGTCATTTAGGGGTCAGATCTGCCCTAACAACCCCCAAAATCCTCTTCTTCTTGGATAACTCGGTCAAAGACCCAAAACCAAGCCAAAACTACAAGAGATGAGATCTAACAAGCTACATGTCAAGGTTATGACTTTATACCTTCGAGATGTAGCCTTTGATGTAGGGTTTCTGGATCCAAGATTACTTCTCCAAGCTTGATGTTTCTCTCTTCAATGCTTCCTTTAAAGATTTCCAACAATCACTCTAAAACTCACAAAACTCAAGGAACAAGTGGAAAAACGATCTATGGTTTCTTCTAGATAAGGGAGGCTGGTAAGGAGGACAACCCTAGAATAGTGGCGAACCTTAGTGGAGCCCGGGGGGTCCCGGACCACTGCTCCGATTCCGGTACGTAGTGTAATTTTTTTTATGTTTTTTTCTATTAGGTGCACCGGCTTAAAATACGAGTGCCACTAGTAATTTAGATTTTTTCGGAATTTTTTTTTAGTGCCACCCCTACTAAAACGTTGTGCGTCCGCCACTGCCCTAGAAGTTAAGTCCTTTAAATAAGGTGCAGTACCCGAAAATTAGGGTTTTGGACATCCCCAACTCGTCGAGTTGATCTTCAAAACGCGCATGCCACATATTTCCAACACGTCGAGTTTATGCCTTAAACTCGGCGAGTTGACCTTCAGAAAGAAGGTTTTATTTCCATAATTAACATTCTAAATTCTGGGTGTTACAAGCGATGAGAATATGCCACCGAGACGGTTGGAGGTGTTCCGAGAAATAAAGGCGAAGATCGAACGAAAATATTTAAGCGAAGAATAATGTATCGGTTTTATATTTTTAAATTTATTATGTTTTCGGTCGATATTTTTCTTGTTGTAATGTCATTTTTATTTTTAAAACGGTATGTTTAATTAAGTATTTAATTTAATTATGTTTTATTTAATTTATTTGTTTTTTAAAAATATTATGACATAAATTAAAAAAATAAAACAAATTTGAAAAATAAAAATTAAAAACATCAATTAATGAAAATGAAACAACCACAAAATGCCGTATGAAAAAAATTAAATTGAAAATAACCACAAAATGACATATAACCAAATCAATGAAAGTAAATGCTATATGAAAAAAAATTCAATTAAAAATCACCACAAAATGACAGATAAATAAATGAATGAAAATATGATAAATGGGAAAAAGTTTTTTTTATACAAAGAAAGCGCCTCTCGTATATATCTGAGGTGCGTCTTTTTACAAGTCAAAATAGAATTACTACAGTCGGTCGGTCAAAATAGAAGTCTACTTCATTTTACTCTTTCATCTATTGCTGTATATTTTCTATCCTCTGCGACACCAGCCCCAAATCGTCAGTCTCAGCAAAGGAAAACAGCCCCAATTCTTCCCCGAATCGTCTCCATCATTCTCTCGTAAGTAAAAGAATCTAACCTACTTTTATATATATATAGTCCGTCACTCTCTCAATCTCTTACTTTGTTATTTATTTCTAATACTATGTGCTACGTCGAAAATCTGTGTTAATTTTTAAATGATTAACTTTTCTATGGTTAATTAAGTTTTTATAGTCTTTGTTTTTGCAATAAAGAAAATTGATCTCTTTAATTACGCGACTGGATACGCATATGTGAAAGGGCTGCGACAGAAGGGCATGTATTTATTTGATTTTAAAGATTTATCAATTTTTTTAGTGTTTGGTGTGGTGAGGTTTTAAGGTCATGCTTATTGGTTGTCTTTGTGTAATACTAGTCATATAACCGTTGTTTGGTCATACAACCATTGTCTTCTTATATTCAATTCATCTCATGTACTTTCCTTTACAAATATTTGATTCTACAGGATCCTTCAGTCATACCAATATCAATGGCGTCTTCTTCAACTTCATTCGTTCAAAAGAGCTTTAAATATGATGTGTTTTTGAGTTTTAGAGGTGAAGATACTCGTAAGAACTTCATTGATCATCTTTATCATGCTCTTCAGGAGAAAAACATTCACACTTACAAGGATGATGAGAGAATCAAAAGAGGGAAAAGGATCAGTGATGAGCTCATGGAATCCATTGAAGCCTCAAAGTTCTTCATCATTGTCTTCTCCAAGAACTACGCCTCTTCATCTTGGTGCTTGGATGAGCTTGTGAAGATAATGGAGTGTCAGAAGACAACCGAGCATACTGTTTACCCCGTATTCTGTGATGTGGAACCCTCCGAAATCCGCAATCAGATAGGGGCAGTTGGAGAAGCCTTTGCGAAACATGAAAATGAAGAGGCTGCTGGGAAATGGAGAAAGGCTTTGAAAGAAGCAGCTGATGTGGCCGGTTGGGAGTTGAAGAACACCGATGGGTAATTTCTTCATCATATCAGTACAACATTCTTTCATTTTGTTTCTTTCTTATCTATATTTATCTTGGATGTAAAAGGCTCGGACATGGCCTCTCATGTTGGATTGTCAAATCTTAACTCAATCCTGGAGTCTTATCAAAAAATTAAATATGAAATTTGATTATATTACAATGTTATTACCAGATTTACATTTGTATGTTATAGATCTGAAAGTATTTGTTTTATGTGGGAATTTTGAGTAACCTAACTGAATCTTCTCTAATATACAGGCATGAAGCTAAATTCATCCGACAAATTGTTGAAAAGCTTTCACTAGATTTACGTTCCATTAATGTCTTCGTTGATGAAAAGTTAGTAGGCATGGAGACTCGGATTGATGATATTTTATCATCTTTAGAAAATGCTTCTAATGATGTTTGCATGATCGGCATCTGGGGGATAGGAGGTGGTGGGAAGACAACATTGGCCAGAGCTGTTTTTAATAAGATATCTTTTCAGTTCGAAGGGAAAAGCTTCATTGAAAATGTCAGAGAAGTTTCAAATGATTCTTTGTCCGGTTTGAAATTGTTGCAGAAGCGGGTCCTTTCAGATGTCTTAAATGATCAATACATCAAAGTAGGCAGTGAAAATGAGGGGAAGAATATGATGTCTTGGATGATGTGTGGTAGAAAGGTTCTTCTTGTTCTAGATGATGTGGATCATGTAGACCAGCTTGAGGCGTTAGCCGGTAAACGTAATTGGTTTAAGCCAGGAAGCATAATTATCATTACAACAAGAGAACAACAAGTGCTTGTAGCACATGAAGTGAAGATTTATAATCTCAATTTGTTATCGGATAAGGAAGCAATCTGCCTATTCGGTAGATATGCATTTGGGAAAGAGATTCCAATTCAAGGGTATGAGGAGCTATCAGGACAAGTTGTATGTTATGCTGCTGGTCTTCCCTTAACAATCAAAGTTTTGGGTTCATTTCTTTGTGGTAAAAGTAAACCTGAATGGGTAGATGCCCTAGCCAGACTAAAAACAATCCCGTTAGAGGAAACTCAGAAGAAGTTGGAATTAAGCTATATCGGTTTGGACGACGAACATAAGGAAATATTCCTGGATATTGCAACCATATTAAAAGGTCGGTGGAAAAAATCAGCAATCCAAGCACTTGAAAGCTGTGGATTTTATGCTATAATTGGTTTAAAAATTCTTGAGCAAAAATCTCTCATAACTATTGGAAACGATGAATGTGTGGGCATGCATGACCATTTAGAAGAAATGGGCAGGAATATTGTTCGTCGATCGCACCCCGATATGCCTAACAAACATAGCCGATTGTGGGATAGAAAGGAAATTGAAGATATATTGGCCAATGACATGGTAAGGCTCAGATTTATTTGTAAGTTGGAGAAACTAACACATTTTCATTTGTTACAAACAAGTTTCATGGTGATTGCTTTTCTATTACAGGGTACAGAAGCAACAAGATGTATCAAATTCTACTATAGGGGACTAGATCCGCAAATCATTATGAAAGGTCTTAGAAAGATGAAGGAACTTCGGGTTCTTAATGTGGCTGATGAAGAAAATTACTTGAATCTGAAAATTAATAAACTCATCCCAAACTGTCTAAATGCTTTAGAAGTTCTGTGGTGTAATTGGAAATCTAATAAAGCTAGCCTATACTTTCCGAATGTTTTACGATATCTACGTTGGCACAAGTACCCCTTTAGATCTTTACCCAAATCATTTCAAGCAAATAACCTTGTTGCACTTGAGATGACTTACAGCGATATCATACAACTTTGGGAAAGAGGAGAAAAAAAGGTATTGTTTTGCATGACTCATGATTCATTATAATGCTATACATCCATTGGTTTGTTATTATACCAATATTAATTCAATTTGTTATTTTGCTTATGTTAGGTTCTCAACAAGCTCAGATTCCTCGACCTAAGTGGGCCAAAGTTGAGGTCCCTTGACCTTGGGTTGACTCCAAATCTTGAGACATTGATGCTGGAGGGACTTGGAGATGAACCTGGTGATTTGGTAGAACTTTACATGCCCGGTAGATGTTTAAAACTCAGATCCCTTGAACTTAATCGTGTTAAGTTGAGGACGCTTGACCTTGGGTTGACTCCAAATCTCGAGAATTTGATACTTGAAGATTGTGATTTGGTAGAACTTCAAATGCCCGATAGATGTCTAAATCTCACATTCATATCACTCATTAATTCAAACCTCAGGACACTTGACCTTGGGCGGACTCCAAATCTCGAGTATTTAAGTGTTTTCCATTGTAATGATTTGGAAGAACTTCACATGGCTGATGAATATTTAAAGCTTAGATCCCTCCACCTTACTGGTTTAAAGCTGAGGACCCTTGACCTTGAGCTGAGTCCAAATCTAGAGAGGTTGTATCTTCTAAAATGCAACAATTTGGAAGAAATTTACATCACCGAATGTCCAATACTGACATTCATCAATATTCAGTGTTCAAAGTTGAGGACCCTTGACCTCAGTCGGGTTCCCAATCTCAGTGAGTTGTGTATTTCTGAATGCAAAGCTTTGGTAGACCTTCACTTGCCCCATAGATGTCTAAATCTCAGGTCTCTCAATTTCATTAATTCAAAGCTGAGGATTCTTCACCTTGGGCTCACTCCAAATCTTGAGGAGTTAGATCTTGAAAATTGTTATGATTTGGAAGAACTTCGCCTGGTCAATCAATGCCAAAAGCTTGTGTCCCTCAACATTTGTCAGTCAAAGTTGAGGACCTTTGACCTTGGGCTGACTCCAAATATCGAGAAGTTAGTTCTTAAAGATTGTCATAACTTGGTAGAACTTCATGCTCCCATTGGATGTCTAAAAAAGCTTGTCTACTTAGACTTAAGTGGTTGTTTGAGGTTTAGATCTTTTTCATTTCACATGGAGGATGATACTTCATGTAGTGAGGATGAATCACTCGAGGTTGATTTTTTAGCTGTGATACGTTTTACCTTTGAAAGTTGCCCATTTCACCCTGAAACTCATTTGCCAGAGTATGAGTTTAAATCTTTTCATATAGAAGATTTACCCTCATTGACTAGAAGTATTGAGAAGCTTATTTCTGAAGGTGCGTGTGCTTGCACAAAACTTGAGACGTTTTCAAGAAGCATTTGTGAATTACAACATTAAAAAAAAAAAAAAAAGCTTAAATTCAAAAGGAAGTATTCCGTAGGCACCAATAAAAGTAGATATATATATATATATATATATATATATATATATATATATATATATATATATAGAAAACTATTTGGTTTATATCGATCATTTCATGTAATCTGAGTATTTTATCAATTTGGAGAACCATTTGGTTGCATGCATTGCAGGAGGTCCAAGATGAACTTGAAAGCGAACTTCTTGTGTTCTCCCAACTTATCAAAATTTCAGTTTGTGTGTTTGATCAGTACTCTCTACATTCTCAAGGATGGCTGTTGTCATTTTTTTTTGTGGATGTGAGTCAGCAAGTAGTACGCTTATCGTTCAATGATGTAAGATATCATTTGCCATCCTCACAATGAAAAGAATCTTCTATGTTCTTAAAATAACAAAAAGTAAAAAAGTTTTAAACTTTATATCTTGCGTATAACCGTATACAACTATAAATCGGTTAAAGTCTTTTACAATAAAAAGGATGACATGTTTATACTACGTTTAGTATCTAACCGGTGTTGTGCACCCATCTTTGCAATACACCTATCAGCAAAAGAGGAACAAAAAGATTCCAGCTAAGGGGGGACCAGGGGCAACCACGAAGGCACTGCAAGGATAGTGGGTCAGCAGGGGCATTTTGGGAATTTAAGCCAATCATCCGTCTTGGCAGTCTATATTATAGGGAGTGCATGTTCATAAAAGGCAGGCAGAGAATATTAGAAGTTTCTTCTACCCTTGGAGACCATAGCATCTCGAATCGCTATTTCTTATTGTTCTTATTGTTTCTTCCTATTTCTTGTTGTTTTTTTGTTATGAACTTGAGATCAATACAGAGGCTGCCCCTGTTCCATTAGATACTTGTGTGTTGAGTTCATAACAAATTGGTATCAGAGCAGGTAAAGTTACCTGGAGTATGGCTGGGAAAAAGGAGGAGGAAAGGAAACCGGAGGAGCCCAACTGAAGAGAGTGGAATCGCTAGAATCAGAGCTGGGGATATTGTATGATCGTTTGGAAACTCAAGGAAATCAAATCCAACATCAGGCGGATTCCATGGTGTCTCTTCAATTGAAGATGGACCAAAAGTTTGCTGAGGTCTTGAGTGCCCTAGCCAAGAATCGACCAGAAGGAACAAATGTTTCTGGATCTGCACTAGTGGAGACACCCAGGGTGATGGTTACGGTGTCCAGCGGAGGTTCCAAAAACAACACTGAAGGTGGCAACACCGGAGGTGGGGGTCGATCCATGGGAAGCGAATACGGGGTTGGTTCCAACTGGAGATTTCGGAAGTTGGACATGCCATTGTTCGACGGTGAGCACCCAGATGGATGGATATTGAGGGCGGAGAGATACTTCAACTTCTATAAACTGACAGAATCGGACAAGTTGGAGGCGGCCGTGGTTGCCCTAGAAGGTGACGCCCTTCTCTGGTTTTAATGGGAGCACAAACGAAGACCGATAACGCGATGGAATGAGCTGAAGTCTCTCCTTCTCCAACAATTTCGACCAAGGAATGAAGGTACGATCTACGAACAATGGTTATCTTTGAGTCAGACCAGGTCGGTTTTAGAATATCAACGTTCATTCATTGAACTACTTGCCCCGCTTTGCACCTTACCGGACGATATCACTATGGGCCAATTTGTTAATGGACTCCAAGGTGACATTAGGTCTGAGGTGCGGATGCTTGAGCCCAGATCAGTTGATCATGCGATGGCCCTTGCCATCAAGGCTGAAGAGAAGCTACGATCTCAACAGCTACAAATCAAGAAAAACACTAACTCGAACGGGGGAATCAGCTTGCGATCAACGTCTACTGGAACTTTATCCGGACCACCCTTAATTACCCCCATTAGGACGACCGTGTACTCTCCCCAAAGCACCTCATCATCCCAATTTTATACTCCGGTAAGCAATTCTATGAACAATCGAGGTCCAGGAGAAGTAAGAAGGTTGTCCGATAAAGAGCTACAGAACAAGAAGGAGAAGGGTCTGTGTTATCGTTGTGATGAGAAGTGGAATCCGGGACATAAATGCAAAAAGAAGGAATTAAGTGTGTTGCTCCTGAATGAAGACGAGGTAGATGACGAAGCAGAATCATCAGAGGAAGCAACCATCCTTCCTCAGGAAACGAGTACTTTATCCAGAATTTGTCTGAATTCAGTGATGGGGTTGGCAAATCCGAAAACCCTCAAGCTCAAAGGGACCCTAGCAGACACTGAAGTAGTGGTTCTAATAGATCCAGGGGCAACCCATAATTTTCTATCATTAACAGCGATTCAACAACTCCACATTCCAGTCACCCCCACAGCTGGGTTTGGGGTTTCGTTGGGAACAGGGGAAGCGGTGTCAGGTCATGGAAAATGCCAAGGGGTTCTGGTGCAAGGGTTGACTATCAAGGAAGATTTTCTTCCTCTCACCTTGGGTAGTTCTGATGTGATTTTGGGAGTTCAGTGGCTGGAGAAACTCGGGGCCGTTACCACCAATTGGAAGACCTAATTGATGAAGTTCCAAGTGAACGGGCAGTGGGTGACCCTGCGGGTGTCTGAACAAGGGGTGGCGGTGGATGAGGAGAAATCAAGGTCGTGGTTGCTTGGCCTTTACCCACTTCGTTTAAGGAGCTAAGAGGATTCCTAGGGCTTACCAGGTATTACCGGAAATTCATAGCCGGCTATGCAAGGATTGCTTCTCCCTTGACCGACCAGTTGAGGAAGGATGGGTTCCAGTGGAGCAAGGAGGCCACTGAAGCGTTTGCAGCTCTGAAAATTGCTCTCACAAACACACCCATTTTGGCAATGCCAAACTTTTCTAAGGTATTTATTGTGGAAACGGACGCATCTGGAGCAGGACTCGGGGCAATTCTAACACAAGAAGGTCATCCCATAGCTTATTATAGCCAAGTCCTTGGAGCACGGAATCGACTCAAGTCCATCTACGAAAAAGAACTAATGGCAATCGTTTTGGCGGTGAGGAAATGGAGGCATTACTTGATGGGAAGACACTTCATCATTAAAACGGACCAACAAAGCCTTAAGTACTTGATGGAGCAAAGGGAGGTTGGTCCGGAATATCAGAAATGGATGTACAAGCTAATGGGATTCGATTTTGAAATTCACTACAAGCCCTGGGTCACCAATAAGGTGGCTAACGCCCTCTCGCGAAAGATTGATTCTAATATGGAACTGCAACTGCTTCAATCCTCCTGGTCCTTGCCCCTAGAAGAATTAAATGATGAAATTAAGAATGACCCGTTCATTCAACAATTGAGGTTAGACATCACAGAGGATAGCAAATCTCCTGTTGGATATTCTGTGGCGAATGACATACTCTTGTACAAGGGTAGATTGGTAATCCCCCACAACTCCAAATTAATACCAAATCTACTCCGTGAATTTCATGATTCGGTGATTGGGGGTCACGCGGGTGAGTTGAGAACATATCAAAGATTGGCCTTCGAATGGTTCTGGGTGGGAATGAGAAAAACTGTTCAAAAATATGTCCAAAGTTGTGTGATTTGTCAAACACAGAAGTCCCTACACACACACCCGACTGGACTTCTACAACCTCTATCAATTCCAGAACAAGTTTGGGACGATATCTCTATGGACTTCATAGAGGGACTTCCTAACTCTAATGGGTTCAATTCGATTCTAGTGGTGGTTGACCGTCTCACCAAATACTCACACTTCATAGCCATGAAACATCCCTCACAGTCACAGTGGCAGCAACCTTTATCAAGGAAGTAGTGAGGCTCCATGGGTTTCCAAACACAATAGTTTCAGATAGGAACAAGGTATTTATGAGCTTATTTTGGAGTGAGTTGTTCAAGATGCAGGGCACCAATTTGCTCCGGAGTATCGCCTACTACCCACAAACGGATGGTCAGACGGAGATAGTCAACAAATCGGTGGAGCTTTACCTTCGCTGCTTCATACAAGGAAAACCTCGAACATGGTCGAAATGGCTACATTGGGCTGAGTTTTGGCACAACACAGCCTACAACACGTCTGGAAAGATCACACCCTTCAAGGCCTTATATGGTCGTGATCCACCCCGTGTTTTGAGGCTGCAAACAGGAGGAACGACTGTCTCTACAGTCGAAGAGAAACTCCTAGAAAGGGACGCCATACTCGATGATCTTAAAGGACATTTGATTCAATCCCAGCAAAGAATGAAGAGGTTGGCAGATAAAAGTCGTAAGGAAGTCACATTCGAGGAAGGGGAATGGGTCTTCCTAAAACTACAACCTTACCGACAACGATCCATGGCTCATAGACCATTCCAGAAGTTAGCAGCTCGTTATTATGGGCCTTACCTGACTATCAAAAAAATTGGGTCAGTGGCTTATAAGCTCAAATTGCCCGACTCAGCCAATATTCACCCTATGTTCCACGTTTCTCAATTAAAAAAAGCCATTGGAGATCAAGTGGCAAACCCTACCTTACCAACTCACTTATCTGAAGAAATGGTGCTCTAGTGGATACCAGAAGCAGTTTTGGGGGTAAGGAATCAAGTAGAGGAAGCAGGGCAAAGAATGGAAGTCTTGATCAAGTGGAAGGAGGTGCCGGAATTCGAAGCTACATGGGAAGACTTTATGACAATCCAACAAACCTTTCCTGAATTTGACCTTGAGGACAAGGTTAATCTTTGGGGGAAGAGTAATGTTGTGCACCCACCTTTGCAATACACCTATCAGCGAAAGAGGAACAAAAAGATTCCAGCTAAGGGGGGACCAGGGCAACCACGAAGGCACTGCAAGGATAGTGGGTCAGCAGGGGCATTTTGGGAATTTAAGCCAATCATCCGTCTTGGCAGTCTATATTATAGGGAGTGCATGTTCATAAAAGGTAGGCAGAGAATATTAGAAGTTTTTTCTACCCTTGGAGACCATATCATCTCGAATCGCTATTTCTTATTGTTCTTATTGTTTCTTCCTATTTCTTGTTGTTTTTTTTGTTATGAACTTGAGATCAATACAGAGGCTGCCCCTGTTCCATTAGATACTTGTGTGTTGAGTTCATAACAACTGGTTAATAAGTAAATGAAAAAAACTAGTTTACAAGTCAAATGAGTACGAAAGATACAAAAGATTCTGAAGTGTTTTACGAAGTCCATAATAAAAGTAATTTTAACACATGAAACAAGGCCGTTACTTCATTTCAAACTAATAAAAACCAATATATTGAAATAATAATTAAGAATAAACGTTGTGAAAATCAACAGAAAAAGCCAAAGAATAATATTTATTGCATGAATACATGATGTGTGTATGTATGATTTCTTTTAATATGCTAAAGTCAAAATACATTTTGACTATTTACCCAATAGTCCCTAGACCATAGGATATTGTCACTTTTAACGTTAGA